CCCTCCCTCCCTCCGTCCCTCCCTCTCTCCCTCCCTCCCTCCCTCTCTCTGTCTCTCCCACCCACCACTCAAAGCCTCCATCTCTCCCGCCAACCCAGGCTCCCTCCCCCTTCACTGCTTTGGAGGTACAGACGAGAAGCCTTGTTCTCGTTTCCTTTTATTCGCTGCTATTTTTCATTTCCTCCTGGCCTGCGCTCCGTTTCACTGACAACACTCGTCAGGTTATTCAAATGGCAGCCTGACTTTGACTCACGGGCTTTGTTTGGATTCAAGGCCGTGTTGCTTATGACAGGAACATTACGAGGACAGACAGGAAAATCAAACTCGTGGTTTGATCATTTTTATCGTCCATATCTGTGCAGGTTCAGCTCTGGTTTTTTCAGTTACAGCTCACACGAGCACACGAGCCGTTTCCCACACATGAAGTTACTCTGAGGCAGAGACTTGTACCCGGTTGGGGACCATCCATCATTCTAGGAAAACGGCCGTACACTCGCTCTATTAAGAAGAATCTGGATGATGGATCATGAGTGCAGTTTATTTTTCTTCTTCCAGTAAAAGAAAGGGGGGAGTGCGTTCTGACTCCCTCATTAGTCCCCGTCGGTGGACGGGCTCTGGTCCTAGTTTAGTTCTAGCGTTAATGGCTGTCTCACTTGGGTCCTGTCATCATGTAAATGAGCCGTCCTCTCTCCTCCACCGCCGCCTTGGAAATGTCAGAGAGATTTTGAAAAGGTCAGGAGAGTCTATACGTGTAAGATCATTGTGTTCTACCTTTGATTTTTTTTTTTTTAACAAAGTGTGGGGGGGGGACCTAACTCGTTAAATGACACATCAATGAACTCTCCCCCTGCCCCCCCCATCTTTCTAATCACAGTTCTGAAACCAGTGAGTCAGAAAAGCACGCTCATATTTATGGTACAGTGAGGTTGTGGGTGCGACGCCAACCCTGTGTGTGTGGAGTGTAACGTGGCTGTGAGTCGTGGTGCCCACAAACACTCAGCTGTTTCAGACTGGAACAAACACAACACACATCTGCAGGAGAGAGAGCGTTCAGAGAATGTTGTTTGAGTGGAACTAATTAGCAGCAGCCCATAATACTCTGAGTCGAGAGGTCGAGAGGTCGAGAGGTCGTCGAACCAAAACAGAAAAGACTTTGAGCTCAACTGAACATAATTACATTAAAGTCTGAAGATCTTTTTTCATATTTTGCCAACAATGACAGAGAAAACATCTGGTCTGGTGTTAGCCTGGTGTCTTAGCTCCTCCCCCTCCCAAAACATGACATCATCATGACCTCATCACCTGCACGTCTGGTTAGTGATGAGTGCATTGATTGGATTTCAGTCCAGTGACACGTCAGGCTGTTTCTGTTTCCTTCAGGAAGTGGTGGAATCCTGTGATCATCACATCTCCCCCCTCTTCCTCCCCCCTGTTCCTCCCCCCTGTTCCTCCC